TTATCTCAAACCTATCATAAAATACTTGTGGGTGAAGCAGGTGTAAACAAATAAATATATATAAAAAAAACTTCACCTCACATTCATAGCAATTGTGAGAGGCACACTGTGTTCCTTGACAAATCCCCTTGAGGTTACATGAAAAACAAGACATGTTCCAAACAGTTCTCCCAACTTGTCACACAAGAAGTATAGGCCCTCTATTGAAACTTGGCTGAAAGCTGCACCCTGCATTCATAGGTAAGGCGATGATAAATCAGTTAATTAGACTGTCTTCATGATTTGCAGAAGCACAGCCTCGCTCACTTGTTGAATAAACATAAATTTGCTCAGCTCAAATAAAATCTGATGAGGAAATAATTTTGGAAGCTTACAGCATAAAGGTCTCTCTCATGTGCAGGGGTGCTGCACTGCGAGGGTAAAGCAACTGAAGTCTGAAGAGGTAGTTTACCACACACTGGACAAGATGATAAAGGGAGATATGGCTAATCAGGTCTACCATTTGGAACAAGCTTCACATGACAGTCTGCTGTTCAAAAGTGCTGTTCAAAAATCCTTCAAATATTATTCAGATGGTCTTCATAGACTCACAGGACTCAAAAATCCTCATGAGGACATTAAAAGCTTCTCACAATCTGATAGGTACACCTGAATATATCAATATTATGACTAGCTTAATGGATATCCCACTGTGTTATTTAACCAAATATCTTTTTGGATGAATAACTTTAAAGAGAATTTCAACAACCATAGACACTTCATTCAACTTTTTTGGCATGAGCAAATCTCAATCAAAGCTAAAACCTATAAAAACAAGCCTCTAATCTGGAATTTCATCAGGAGATAAATCCTGGAGCTGCTCCACTGGCATTGAATTGGAAACTGACATGGTGGATTGTGTAGTAACTGCATCTGCTCTCGAGTAGCTTTGACAGTATCTGTAGGTGCTACCAGTTATGAAGCAAAACACATCTCATAATACCTTGTAAAACACTCGGAACTGTCACTTTGTAAGTGAAGCTGGTATCAGTCAAAGTGAAAAGAGCAGTGATGGATTATGTTTCTTAGATGCAGATTGGGCGTGGCCAAGAATTTTAGAATAATACATGTGATTTCTTCTTTTTGTTTCAGGACTTTAAAAACAAGGAGTTACCAACCAGCCAACTGGAATCCCTCATGGGTCCGATACAGAGGGAGGTTTTTAGATTAGATCACTTGGGCCATTAAAAATAAGTCTAGGGTTTCAAAACACCAAAAGCTATAGAGATGAATTCACCAGAGGCCTTTCTTTAGAAGGACATATCTATATAAGAGGCTGAAGATAAAGAGCAGATGCATTTCGTTGCCAGTAAAACTGACTTGGAAACACAATCTAATTCCATAATTGCCCTCAGTAACTTATGAGCAGAAGAAGACATCTGGTGAGTGGCTGCATGTTAACATCAAAACGTAGGCTTCTTTCTTCATTCATTCATTAAAACAGCTAATACATGTTGTAGTAGTGGAGTGCTCAGAGGTGGCAGAGCCAGGGAGGCTCTGTTGTCAGACACAAGACCACTTTGATCTCTAAAAATCTTTGCCTTTGTTGATGACAGAATAGCTGGGAAAGGGATTTTCAATCAGAGAACCTCCATGGGAATTCCCTGACATGCAACAAGGGCAACACACAGCCAGAGGAACATGACAATACACAACACCCATCCTGTGCATTCTGCCACTTTTTAAGAATCAGTCTAATCTATGATATCACATTTTCCCCCTTTGAACTCATAACCCTACATATAAAAAGCTTGTTTTTTTTCCACATACACTGAGCTGACAACACACTCACTCTCCCACTCCTTCTCCTACACGCACACAGACACTCGCCCGGTCCCACATTTGACAACACCCCATGTTTGCCCCTCTGGCTTCCATCCCACACACCCTGTTTGTGGCAGCATCTGCCATTG